TCGAGCAAGAGACCCTTGCTTCCCGTCCATATACAAGAGTAAGAATTTTAGTAAAAAACCTGCTCTCATAAAGAAAGAGTCACCCTGGTGTCCTTGCTTGCCAAGTAATGTAAAAACACACTCCCTGTCTCACGCCTGGATAACACACAAGCCCACAGTGCCACGTACGTCCCTGGTTTATTTCAAGGCTGACACTGATCTAAAACCACTTCAGCACCCCACAGTTCAAGAACAGCGAAGGTGTGACAGCCCCTTGGGGATAAATAGCCATCCTCAAGGCCATCCAACCAATTCTGTTTCCCTTCCTGGGGCGTGCTGCATGGGACCGGCAGCTTTCCGTCCTGACATTTTTCTGATGCTTATTCTTGGTCTCATTTGGAGGGATGGCTGTGGCTGCCTCATCACTGAGGTATTTATCCATTCCAGAAACCCCTATTGAAAACCTGCACTGCTTTAGACCCCCCAGTTAGCTGTACCTGAGATCTGGAGGTTCATTGGCAAAGAGGTAACGATACAGTCATTCAGAGCCAGAAAGGTAACATAAAGGAGTGTGCTAGGCTGGGAGAGACCAAGTGAAATAGGAGATTCCTGTTCAAATGAGAGACTTTTTCTCATCTCTGAACATTAGTCTGGAGTGATTCTGCAGCCCCAGGATTCCTAGAAATCTTCATTTTCCTATAAAATCTCCTGATGACTAAATGTTGCCAAGTAGTTTAAATTTATTTTTTAAAACACGGTAGGCCTATAGATGCCCTCTGACCTGTGGACCATAGGCCAGTGCTGGAAAGATCGTTAATTTTTTTCTTTTTGGTATTGGGAATCGAACTCAGGGCCTCGAGCTTGCCAGGCAGGTGCTGTGCCGCTGAGCTACATCCCTCGCTCAGTAGTTAATTTTTGTAGTTATGGACTCTGTGTTAATGGTACATGTGAGCAAAACAAAAAAAAAAGTAGTGTTCCCTCATTCTCTCTCCTCTCTTAGATGAGGAGGAGGTGATGCTACAAGAGAATAGGTAAACTAGGTGGAGACAAAAATAAAAATAAGCTATAACGGCGGGATACCAGGGTCTCGGATAACATGGAGCCTTGTAGTTCATAACATACACCTTGGCTCTCACTCTGTGTCAGATAAAAAGCTACCGGGGAGATTAAGTAAAACATGGATGTGATGCTATTATTATTTTTTTGAGTTCCCGCAGGGATCAGTCACACCACCACCACCACCACCACCAAAAAACTTGTGGGTGGGCCAGGGATTTAGCTCAGTGGTTCTGCTGCTTGCCTCATAAGTGCAAGGACCCAAGTTCGATCTCCTGTACAAATAAAACAAAACAAAAAACAATCAAACTTGTGAGAGAGCTGTCCCTGCAGTCTGAGAGACAATAGTGGTCACATCCTAGGTTTAGGTTGACCAGCACAGGACTTGCTCCACATTAAAAACAAAATGCAAAAAGAGAAAAAGGCTTGGCTGTGACACATTTTTAGATGTTTATAGTATTAAAAATATATAAGGGTCTGGGGATTTAGCTCAGTGGTTCTGCTGACTGCTTTGCAAGAACAAGGACCCGAGTTCCATTCCTGGTACCAAAAAAACAAAACAAAACAACAACAACCAAAAAACCCCCAAAACCCATATAAACGTATGGAAAACATTATCTAGGTTATTCCTTTCACTATTCTTTGGAATTTATTTTTCTTCAGCAATGTTCAAAGTAAAAAGTTAAAGAAAAAAATGAAAGTTTTTATTTCCTGATGACCTAATCTCTAGCAATGCATCGTTAGATATCTTTAGATGTTCTTGCTAAAACACACAAGGCGGGGGGAGCATCTGGTGGTGGCTCTGGCCTCCAGCCTCTCTGCAGGCTGAAGCCAGAGACCTGCAGCCTAACTTCCCCACCACATAGGCCTTGAGGGCTGTTTCATAAGATGGGTTGGAGGCACCATCAGATTTTGCTTCTGGCTGACCATCAAGGGCGGCAGAGGTGCATTTATTTATTTATTTATTTTTATTTTTTTAGTACTGGGGATTGAACTCAGGACCTTGCACTTGCAAGGCAGACAGTGGAACCACTGAATTAAATCCCTGCCTGGCAGAAGTGCTTTTTTTTTTTTTTGGTATTGGGGATTGAACTCGGGTCTTTGCGCTTGCAAGGCAG